AAAAAAAAAGGGTAATTTTTTCTTTTATTCCAGTGTTTACGTATGTATGCACGTATACCTAGTTAAATCCATAATTCGCATACAAAATATCAATAATTTATCATTTTAAATATATTTGCCGGTACTTATTTGAACATAAATATTTTAGCACACGTATATATTGCTACTTTAATGTTGTAATATAATGTTAATTAATAATAATTGAAATAATGTTAATTTTCTTATAAGCTTGTCATATCTACAGTTTCATATAATATTTGTGCTTTTTAAAGTGTCATTTCGTTATTTAATTATAACTAATGAAATCACTTTACAATCATAATTACCAAAAATATCATAAATGAAATTCTATTATTGTGCGTTCGAATATTTTACTCGGACGATTTAAACTAAGATATCGCGATATAATAATTAATTGATTTATGCAATAAAATATGAAAAATAATTAATTCTCTCGTAATATATTAAACGCCTTGTTAACCACGAAGAATGCTTCATCGTGTACATTCAATGTGCTATATAAATTAATGATCTTACAAATTTCAATAAAGAATCTTATATTGTTACTATTTAAGTTTACAAGCAAATAATTCAACGAATAAATCTATAAAATTAAATATATAATTTTTAACGAGTTCTATTCAATTTCATACTAGTTTTTTATTTTTCATTTTTCAATAAATCAATTAAAGCTACTTTTAATAAAATACTTTTTATTTCTTTTAATAATTACATAATTATTGGCACAGTATGTAATATAGTATAAAAGAATTTAAAAAGTACTAACTAACAGGAATATTGAATGATTCGTGAAATTTGCTGATTATCAAAGTTCAGATCTTTTCTTTGGCATTCAATTATTAAAAATGTATGAGTATAAAGTTATGATGAAAGTCGTAATTATACTCGGATTTGTCTCTATTAATAGATTCACACTACTTTCAAATGGATCGAATACTTATGATTACACGTAGAGGGCGTTTTCAGAGGTAGTCGTTATAGGATGATGTACAACCTCTACGAGCAAATGATTATCCTGGAGAAATTATATACGCGGTAGCAATATACGATACCATGTACAATATTTTCAATACTTTAATATTTAGTTATATATTTTGCATACGTATTATTTGTAATTATACATTGATTCTTAACATTAAAGTTATATAGTGCAATCATCAATTTGGAATTATATTTTAAACTACAAACTGTCCGCTAGGCGAAAGCATTTTATTCACATAAAATGTGATATAGAAAATACCGACTTTCTTAATACGTCCTTTGCCTACCGGTAAATAGTTTTCTGTTGATTTGTCTGATAAAAAGCTTCTATCATTATAAAATGTCCCTTATCTGGCTGTAAATGGAGCGTGATGATGTGCTTCAATATTTTGTATTAAAATAACCTTGGAAATATCGAGAAACATTTTATCGAATACAAATGTGTGTAGGCGTGTAGATTGATATGTTTAATGCATTTATTTTATATATATATAATAGATTTAAGTAAAAT